ACCATTTGGCGTGGTAACCCCCCCCCCCCCCCCCCCAGGCCTTGTTCCAGTTCCCGTGGCCTCCGTCGTCCTCCTCCTCCTCCGTCTTTGCTCAGAAGAACAGAAGAAGAACAGAATCTTTGCTGTATCTCCTCCAGCCTTTTGCTTCTTCACAGCAGGAGGTCGGGGTGTGATGGGAGGAGTGGGGGGGGTATTTAAATGATGAAGGAAAAAGCACGAAAAAAAGGAGATGGGAGATCAGAGCGCGTCTTCACGCTCCTTTATAGTTAACATTAAAGAGTGACATCATCGTAAATCCTCTCAGAGCAAACGAGGAGGAGGGTTAATTATGACTGAGAGGAAGAGGAAGACACACACACACACACACAGACACACAAACACACACACACGGGGGGCCTTACGTGTGGCTACAGTAATCTCTTCAGCGCCTCCACCAGGCTGCTCCGGTACTGGTCCAGGAACAAACTGCGGAGCAGACGGAGAGAGGAGCGGAGAGGTGAGGAACGATTTGCGGTGGTGCAGATATAAAAAAAAAAGCTGAGCTGATTTTTTTTTTTTTCTCCTCTGTTTACAGATCCGTCCACAGGCGGGAGAACAATCTGCATGAAGAAGATTCTCTGCCTCTTTTTGTTTACACCTCCGACGGAATATCAGAAAATGCAGCGGCACAGAGAGAGAGAGAGATACCATCGTCAAGAGAAAATACCCACAAAAACACACACACACACACATATTTGTGATCCGTTCAGGGAATCACATCCAGCTGCTGCGCCGGCTGGAAGAGAGAAAAGAGCTTCAGGAAATCAACAGAGCCTGTGTGTTGTGTGTTGTCCTCACTTTGAGCTATCGCTAGGCTAACCTTTAGCCTCCTGGTGGTTTCATCCTACGACTTACTAATAGACCACCGACTAAGTCCATTTCACTCAACGAAACCAAAGGCTGCGGAGCGGATCTGTGATGAGTACCGTTGCCTTACCAAAAAAGAAGGTCACCAGTTTGATTCCCAGCTCTTTCTGTATGGAGTTCTGTGTGTGTGTGTGTGTGTGTGAGACTGCACAGTGGCTTAATGTTTATTATAATATTTAGAAAATAACAGTTTTTATGTCGGTCGTATCATTTTATTTCGTTGTATTTGTAATATTAACCTTAAAGGCCGGTCTGTGGTGCAAAAAAATGGATTTGACCCCTGGATTTGACCCCTACTACCAAAGGCCGGTCTGTGGTGCAAAAAATGGATATAACCCCTGGATTTGACCCCTACTACTACTAATATTAATAATAACAATAATGATAATAATATCAAAAAATATCAATAATAATAATACTAACTGGTGTATAATGATTCCTGGTCTCTGTCTCCGTGTCTTCAGCCAACAGGTCGTCTGTTCTGCCCCCTCACTGTCAGGGCTCCATTGTCTAATATTGACCCCCTCCCCACCTACAACACCCAGCTACACTGATTGGGGGTCAAAGGGCACAATGTGGGCGTGTGCCTGTCTTGTTTACTTGTATGGAGGTACAGGATGTTGTCGAAGCTGAGCAGCCTGTGAGGTCACATGACCGTCAGGTTCTCTGTGGGTCTGACCTCAGACTGACCCTGACTGGAGGTTCTGTCCTCTGACGTCCTGTGGTCTAATGTCCATGAGGAACCAGTGGAACCAAAGCCACGTTGGAGCTGGTTCTACTGACAGTGTGAACGTCACCTGACCTTTGACCTTCAACTTAGTTTCCTCACTGGGAGGGTGAGGGGGGGTTGAACAATTGACTTCATCTACTAACAAATAAAAACGTCTGTGGCCTGACAGTTGAGTGACAATCACAGGTTCAGAGGTCACTGACAATGAACTGGACCATGACCTCCCCCTGACCCCTCCCCTTGGCCCCTCCCCTTGGCCCCCATCAGGACCTCAGGTTAACACATGCACATGAAAAGTGAAGTATTAATGAACAGTTGTTGCTTCTTTTACTCACTTCACCCCCCCTACACCCCCCCCACCCCACCCTCCATACACACACAGCAGCGGGGGCCC